GTCATTGCTCCAGGTGTTATATTATAGGTGCAGAATTTATCATAGTATACTTGTATTGATCAACATTTTATCAGTTTAAAATGTACAAACATTACCCCCCTTCACACCACTTTACACGTCTCCATTTATAACATAATTTTCTTAAATAATTCCTTTCCTTACATTGAGAATTACACCATGCTGTTATAATTTTTGCTTCCACAAGACTGAAGGCCTCTCCAAAGAGAAGGGCTGCTTCTTGAAGGCTGGATTTTAGTCATGAAACCCCAGTGCTTCGGACTGAGAACATTCAGAGGAAGGAAGCCCATAATGATTAAAATAGAATTTCTACTTCCCCATGCAGTTGGTTCTGGGGTCAGATTAATCAATAATTTTATTTAGGAAAAAAAATGTGACTTCTATTGCATCTAATTGGGAGGATTGAAAATTCATATTCAATTCAGAATTAAGTTCACAGTGCTAAAATTACTTTAAACGATATATTAAATATTTTACAGATTTTATGTAATTTTCATTTTACAGAACTATTAGTTGTTTTTTGTAGTGTGAACAGCTCGCAATGCATTCTAACCACCCTAAACTCAACCCCTGTCCATAGCAAAAGGCCCACCAGTAGTTTTCTACAATATATTTTTTTCCGCCCTCCCAGAGAGTGGACCTCGACCTTAGCAGCTCATTAGAATCACTCAAGACTCTTAAAAATACTAATGCCCTAGCCCCAACTCCCAGAGATTCAAATTTAATTGGATACAATAGTTTCTAAAATTCTTCCAGATGCATCTAATGGACGGCCAAGCTACCTGACATGCCCTGACTTGAGGCAATCAAAACTCAGGGAATCTGACTTGGGACAAAAAAGAGAAAATGGCTGGGTCCCTTCTGTAGGCTGGGTGTTATGCTTCTGAATAATAGAGGAGTGAAGAGATGAACAAGAGAAGCAAATGTCTGCAGTGAGAGGAGAAAGCAGCAAGTCACTGAGAGAAGCAGAAAAGTGAAGGCAGAATAGTGTCCCTGGTCCCTGGGGGCTGACTGTGTTCCTAGCTTGAGGGTCCACGTGTACCCTTCTGTCTTTATAGCCAATCTTGTTTGGTGTCTAACCTTGCAGGAATTTGTTTTGTTACATTCAACCAAAGGAGTCTCAACATTTCAACTCAAAATCCCCAGCTCATTAACCTGTAAATGTAAATAATGCTGCCACTGAAAATGCCTCTCATTACCTAACGTCCTCTTTCAGCATTTAGGAATTTACACTGTGTTTAATCACGTTTGGCCATCAGTTACTCTAGGTATACAGATGTTGGGTGATAAGAATCAAATATTATACATCTATACTCAATAGTCTAATCATATTAAGAATTTATTGCTAATGATTAAATATTTGTGATTAAACAGGCTACTTACCTTAAAACAAAGTTTGTGAGCATTGGCAAGGAGAATGCTATGATTGAAATCAAGAAAAAATAACATGAAAAAGTAACTACAGTTGTGTGGTGTTTTACCTAGGGGAAAATGTATCCATGCTTTCCTCAGTCTCCACACAACTGTCTGACTCCCAAAACACCTTGTACGATTCTCTAGAAGGTGAATGGACGATACAAGTCACTAGATTGTTACCACTTAGTGGGAAGGTGTTAACACCCTCTCCATACCAGCTCTATGGCTTCTATAGAGCGGAATGTGCTCGAGGAATCTTTTCTTGTTGAAATTAAGATCTGATTCCAACAGAATTATAAGATCCTCTGGGACAACAGCTATGTTTCAATTTCAGTCATTACAACATCTAGCACAGTACTTTGTGCAGAATAGAGGCTTTATTAATGAATCTGTTTAAATGAATAAATGAAGATCAATTCAGCTTTTATATACCAGTTGTACATATTAAAGATAATGTTAGCACCAGGCCTACACATGAGGAAAAGTGAATTTTTACAATGCCATTTACAATAATATTTAATTCTGTTAACATCTCCACTTTCCATATTTTAAAAATGCAATCCATATAACTTTTTATTTATAATTTACTCTCTTCTAATAATAAATAGCTTTGTGCAGATTGTAAATTTGCTAGTCCGAATAAAAACACATTGGAAAACCTTAAATTATCACCAAATTCCACTAATATTCAGAGACTGTATGCTGTTCTAGTACAAGTCTTACTGACATAAACATATGATGACAGAAGACAAAAATGTGTTTGTAATGGTCACATAAACATTTTTGGTGTTTATTAGGG